GGATACCAGGGGGGCCTGCCTCACTGGGGTAAAAGAAAATCTGGGGGGTTACAGGGGGCATGCCCCCCTGTTGTTACCCATAATTTGATATTTTACTGTTAGATTTGAAATTGTCTTGAAAATAATTGATTTGCGACAGTTTTAGTGGCTATATGTGTGATCTGCAGCAAAAAATACTGCAGTTTGACCCCTGAAACAGTGCATCTGTGTGCGGGAGTGAAAGTAAAAATTTACCCTTAAAAACACACACACACACACATGCACGCGCAAACACACACACACACGCACGCACACTCACACACACACAATGTGGGCCACTCCATTCGCAAATGGCTACCTCTATTCTCACCCCGGGTGAGAAAAGCGCAGGCGAGTCTTTTGGCTATTCTCACCCGGTGTGCATTCGCCGTTATAGCCTAGGCCAACGAGTGTAGCGTTCACCCTGAACCACAGAATTCTACACTGTGATAACAGAATTGTAGAATTCTGTGCCGTGCGTGAACAAACGTTCCATTACTACTACTGTTAGCCTAAAAGCGTGCAATTTTGTCAGTGGGCAATGGAGAGAGAGAGAGAGAGAGAGAGAGAGAGAGACAGAGAGAGAGACAGAGACAGAGAGAGGAGTAGCGCAAGAACTTCCGGGCAAAACAAAATGGCAACCCGCGTAGTTCAGCTCGATTCGAAAAGTTAAATAGCCGTAGCATCTTTGTAGATGACCAAGGTTTTAACATAATTTTTTTCTTGGCTTTTATCAATTTGATCATACACACCGATAGACAATATTCCGAAATGAGGAAAAACTGGTCTTGTTTCACATCGGGTGAGAATAGCCAATGCTGGCAAGTCTCACCAGGGGTGAGAGGTCGATCGTATTTTTATTCTCACCCCGGGTGAGGATAGCCACTTCCTTCTTCGCAAATATCCTCAAAAACTCTTGAGAACGAAACTGTTCTGAGAAATCCAGTTCACATTTATTTTCGGGAGCATTCGGAGAAATAGAGCCGGGCTTTTATTATTTAATATCTCATTGTTATTATACATTACGATTATTACCTGTGCCTCCGCCTCCGCCTCCAGGGATTACAGGGTTGCCTCCTCCTCCCCCTCCTGTGCTGCCGCCACCACCACCACCAATTCCTCCTCCTCCATCACCTCCTGACCCAGGCCTCGATCCTCCACCTCCCGTATCTATTGGGGGCTTTCTTGTAGAGTCTGCAGGCTCTGTCGTGTTCTCACCCACACATAGTCCTGAGGGGGGGAATCTGTCACACTGAAGAGATTCTGGCCACTCAAAGCCAAACTTGTTCATCAAACCCTCACATCCCGTCCTAGCCTCGTTGCACATAGACCTGCATGGTGGAATTGCGTCTTCGAGAACGGTACATACTGGTACATACATTGAGCACAAAAAGAATTTCAACTGCTTGCTGCACTTCACTTTGACTAGGGGAAAAAACTGGTGCACCTCAAGACCAGCGGCGTCTTGGTCTCTGTGATTTAGCAGGTTTGGCATGATGGTTTCATTGTACTCAATGTCTTTACACAACGGAACAGTGATTTTCTCACATTTTCCGTGCGTGGCTACGTGACTTGCTTCTTTCTGATACTGGTTACAATCCACAAACGAGTGCCGATCGCATGAAATAACGAAGAAGACAACGACGCTGAGCACAGAAGACCACGGTGACGAAAGGGTGCCTCGCCTCCGAGAAGCCGCCATATTGTTGTAGCTCGGTTTTAGGGCACCCCCGAAGACAAAGAGGAGCAAACCGACACACGAAGGAACCAATAATCCGACTTTTTCACAATACAATCACCTTGGAAGAATCATCTTGCCTTCATGGTCACCTAATCCCAGGTGAAAGTAACAGGCCATTCAATTAGCCACTGATACTTATTGATCCTCAAGTACAAAACGAAAGAATTACCCCAAACACTGCACGATAACACGCGAAATCCAAGCAGAAAGCAACATTCGTGTGTTTCGAGCGTTTCCTGACTCGCTTCACCCTCGGTCGACGGTGCCGAGCGAGCCGACTCTCTTCACGGGCTTGGAAACGAGCCAGAACAACAACCAATCAGAATATTTTCTGTTTCGGGAAATAGAACGAGCGATCTGATTGGTCCAAACTTGGATCCAGGCTGTTAAATTCACCTCCTGCGTGCAAAAACCAGTGCGTTATGGATTGTTTAGCCTAGTTTATAATGTATAGGCTAGCCTAGCCTATGCTAGGTTTAGCCTACTGTACTATTTATTGCAACTGAATTTCATTCAATTCTTAGGCATTATTGTCCTGGGAAACTAATTATGTGCATAGAGAAGTTCTGAATATCCCTGTATACATCCATTTACGCTCAAGTTAGTAACGCAATATTACCAGGAGTCGTTTTCATGTTGAACGGGGTCATGATGAAAGGCCAAAGGTACGCAAGGCTCGCACGGTGAAAGCCAAGGCTAAGGCATTCCTATGAACTTAAATTTTGCTAAATACAGCACTGAATTTTGTTGTGTTTTGGTTTTGTTCTTGTTGTTGTTATAGACCAAATCTCAGACGAATAAGGAAACATTCTGGTGTGAATTTAAAAATCAAATAACATGGCAATGACCGGTCAGAAGGCCTATATTTGGCTATATGAACCCGAGACTCCGTTTAACTAAAGTCTGATCTTTTCGTATCTCAATTCTTTCTTTCCTTCTTTTCAATTGTCTTTCAGCACCGTACACGGAAAGAAAGTACTCTCAATGGCTCTTCGCTCAAACCAAACAAATTATTTCAGTTTTGTGTCCAAATCCTCATACTCATCAACTTCGTTCGTATCACACGAACACATTAATCTTGACCTAAGAGCCCGGCCTTTTTGTAACTAGGCCTACTGTACATCGGCAAAGTTCTATTTTGTAGAGTTGAAAAGCAGTTAATGTAACTTGTAGTTGTTGCTTTTACTGTGTGTATTGTTCTAATTAAGAAAATAGCTGTTGAGTGAAAGCGTGTGTGTATGTGTGTGTGTGTGTGTGTGTGTGTGTGTGTGTGAGAGAGAGAGAGAGAGAGAGAGAGAGAGAGAGAGAGAGAGAGAGAGAGAT